TGGGGTGGGAACCGGGTGGAGGGGAGCTATGGGGGGGAAAAAAAGAGGAACAACTGTAATAATCTGAACAATAAAGATTTAATAAAAAAAAAAAGAAAGAAATTTAGGCTCTAGCTTTATCACAGCAAGAAATCACAGCAGTTAATCTATAAATATCTTATGGTGACAATTCTTTTAGAAACATTTTGTTAATATGCTATTAGTGTGTTGCAGTCCAGAGAAAAACCAAGCAATGCATTAGAGAAAAGGAGTTACACTATTTATTTTATACCAGTGGACTCAGAGGAATAACTTCCCAAGTCTGAGCAAAGTAACATGCAGGGGGCTTCTCTTTGATATCTTTTCTGGTGTCCTTGTCCCTCAAATATGGATTATGCTTCTGGTCCTTTTCATGGGCTTTTGCAAGAAGGCCCCAGGTGTTGGGGGTCTCCAGGTCATATCTAATGGTCTGGCCTGACCCCAGCACTAATAACCCCCGCTCCAGGGCTGTGCACTGTTCACAGTTTATGGCCTCTGTGAAATGTGAGCATTTATATAACAGGTTCTGCAGGACCAGTTTCTGGGAAAGAGGCAATGCCTTAATTATAGGTTATCAAGACTGTACACTGGGTTTGCTGGCACAGATTCAGATTGCTAGCCTCCCCCTCCCCCCACCCCCCATATCAGGGTTACATTGGAATTAGCCTTCTCTATTGGAGAAATTAATGCAAAATAACTTCTTTAAAAATACAACATTTCCACCAACTGTTTATGTTTGCATAAGGAAAGCAATGCATCTGATGCTATTCTTACCTGATGGCCACCATATCTGTGAGCCAATGGAATGGATCCAAATACAATCTTTTTGCCACTTACAAGCTGGATAAAATCATCTGTTTCTGAGACGGATAAATCAAGGTCCAAAATATCTTCTAGAACTTCCTAAGAAATGGAAAAAAAACAAAAATCTCCTTACAAAATCCTTTAATAATCCTTTAATAATTTTTAAGGAAAGAGACTTAATGGAAGAAAGAAAATTAAAAGACTAAACCTCTTCCAAAAATACATTAATACTTTTTCATAAGAGATGTACCATATGTTCTGATTATTTGGGAAAATTTATTCTATTATAGTTCTAAAAGTTTTATATATTTCTTATGATGTATAAATATTTTTCTAGCACGTATTTTTTAAAGAAACTAGAAAAAGTAAATGTCCTATTTTTATCCCAAATTCATTTATATCATGAGAGAACAATTTAGAATTTGTTATTAGGACCCATTTCTAAGAACTTAACTCATTTACCTGTACCTTGTAAGATAATTTGAAGATGAACCTGAGTACGAGGCTCTAGGAATAAGTATCAAAAACTGATTTCTAAGAATGACATTCTCCAAGTGTCTGAATTTTAAACACAAAGACTAACAATTTAACTCTGAAAAAATATTAATATATTTTTAGACAAAAGTTGTAGTGAGTTAAATATTTGTATTGTGAAAAAATAAAGCCTAACCTTTGAAACTGCCACAAGGTGTACTCTTGATTTAAAAGGAGTAGGGAAAGCAATGGAAAAAACACAGTTTTTCACTTTACGAATATAATTTTCTTTAACAGGATCAACTGGCAACACAGCTGATAAAACAAAACAAAACAAAACCTTCTTAATGTTCTCTTTTGTTGCATTTACAATATTAATATTCCTTAAAAAGGCTATGGTCTTCAAGAAAATCAACTTAAAACACTATTTTCTTTATACTTTATTACTTACAGGTTATTTTATAATTTTCAACTATTATCTAGCCAAAATTCATATAGTACAATAGTATGTGGAACTGTCCAAGAAGATAGGAGACGAAAAAAAGTTTAAAACAAGACATATACCTGTCTTCAAAGATTTTCACTCATGGTAAATCAATAAGATGTGCAATATTTACAAATAAAAATACATAAATAAAATGGAGGTGAGATCATTACAGTATTAGAATTATAGTATTAGGCAATTCAATGGCATCCGATCAAAACATATTAGGCATTTAATCACATTCTTTTTGCCTTTCAGAAAAATCAATTAAAATATGTGGATACTTTACTAAAGGTACAAAACCACTTCCAATTCCACCAGAAAATTCAAAACTTTTGATAACATACCTGTTCCCAAGGCTGGAAGTTTAAATTGCCTTTGAGATAAAGTATGCTTCATAAAGTCCAGGCACTAAAGCACACATGCGTTATTTAAAAAACTGTAGAGGAGAGAGCTTTGCACAGGCTTTAGATCTACTGAACATAGTTACTTTTAAGTAAAATTCTTAAAAATCTTAATTATAAATCTTAATTCTAATCTTTCCCTAATCCAAAGCAATTTAAAAAATAGAAAAGGTAGGTGTATTACTAAAACTATAAGACAAAGGAACACAAAAGCCTATGTCACTGATTAGAAGTTATGTTGTCAACATGTCAATGTCATAAATCATTTCATAGTCCTGGGCTGTGTTGGTGTCAGCCCGTGCACCGAAGGATACTTTTGGGAAGTAACCAATTGATATGTCTCAAATTGATGTTTCTCTTTCTCTCCTTCCCTCCCTTCCACTCTTTCTAAAAATCAATGGGAAAACTCAACAGTATATTTTCTTCTCTTTTAGGAAAGTCTCTGTGTGGAAATAAATTGTTAAATAAATGACATTTTATTTTATTTTTTTAAATATATTTTATTGATTTTATTTTTACAGAGAAGAAGGGAGAGGTCTAGAGAGATAGAAACATCAATAAGAGAGATCGATCAGCTGCCTCCTGCACGCCCCCCACTGGGGATGTGCCCGAAACCGGGGTACATGCCCTTGACTGGAATCGAACCCGGGACCCTTGAGTCCGCAGGCCGACGCTCTATCCACTGAGCCAAACCGGTTCAGCATAAATGACATTTTAGTAGAGCATGGGCAGTATATAATTTCCATTAGTACTTATGATTTTGCACTGATTCACATTTTGGCAAGGTAGCTGATCACTGACTACCTTGTGATCATTGGCCATGGAACAAAAAAGGCTAATGCTTCAGCAGACCCAACCCTCACCCTTGTTACAGTTTAACCAACTAATCAGTCATAGACTAAAAATACCAGCAAAAATTCCAATGTTAACCTTTTTTTTAAACATTTCAGAGAAATCAGTAATTCCAAAATTCTTTAGAATTCAATTTTGCCTAAGAATATGAAATCCCCTAAAGCTGCTAGCCTTTTTGTGCAACTGTTTGAAATCTCTTCTCTCAATAAATGTTCTTTTAACAGTTACCTTGATAATTAATTGAGCATGTCCTATATCCTCAGGATGATATGCTTTTATGCAGTACTATGAACCAAGACATGGTTAATAAGTATATAATATTATGTATATAATCTGTAAAACCTGGTCCTACCATGTTTTGAACAGTATCATCATCACAGAAAGAAAATGTCTCAATGTGTAGCCAAGTCCCCAACATAGAAATAACTTTGAAAATGCTTTAAATTATACTTATTCCATTTTTATCAGTCAATACTGGTTGTTTCATTTGTATAAGTGCAGTCAGAAAGGTCATTTTGAGCTTATGCAAAGGGGAGTTGTTTGGCAGTTACTTGCACAGCTCAGACTATGCTTTTAACTTCCTAGACCAGCCGTGGGCAAACTACAGCCCGTTTGAAATGAATAAAACTAAAAAAAAAAAAGACCGTACCCTTTTATGTAATGATGTTTACTTTGAATTTATATTAGTTCACACAAACACTCCATCCATGCTTTTGTTCCGGCCCTCCGGTCCAGTTTAAGAACCCATTGTGGCCCTCGAGTCAGAAAGTTTGCCCACCCCTGTCCTAGACTCATGCTTGGCCCAATTGGGTCAAAAGAACTATTAGTTGGTATTTTACATGTCCTATTGGTGGGTTATTTTTCTTTTATTGGTGGGTTATTGTTCATCAGTTTAGTTATACTATGGTGTTAGAAGCCTTCAAGAATTTCCTCTGCCCTCCCTAGTTACCCTTGTCGTATTACATCTTTTTAAGAACCAGGTATTTTGTTTTAATCTGGGGAAACCACTTCTAACTAAAAATGACCTGACAGAATTGTGTTGTGCTCTATCTGTCAACTATGTGAGCTTGTGTAAGACACTCAATTCCTCTATCTCAGTTTCCTGTAAAAAAGGGCAAATGATGGTACCTAAATAATAAAATTGTTGCAAGTACAAGTGTTTATTGCTATACTTACTTTGGCAAATTCTACCTGTTGGATATTTAATATATAAAGCTTTATGAAGATACTAGTAAGCCACAGGTGTGTATTAACAACCTTCATTTGTAAAGCACCAGAGACCTTTTTTAAAAATAATATTCTTCACGATTGGGGGCGGGGCTCATAAAATTGGATTGAGAAATTTCTTTATTCTATAATTTTATTCAGTAAAGAACAATATATTTCAAGATAAATATGTGCCCAGCTACACGGACACTTACACTGTGATGCAAAAAACCTGGTTCAGAACAAGGGACAATATCAGAGAATTACAGTTGCCTCTTGGCTGGTCTATTTCCTCAGAGTGAATTTTTTGAGGACAGACTAAGTTTCTTCCCTAAACCTTACACTTTCTCTCACTGGCTCTGTGTGTTTGTATGCATGTGTTGAATGATTAATTCTATCATGGATTTCTGTTATAAATACACGCTCTCATGACCACGAGAAAGGATCTGGCAATGGGATTAAGGAAAGGTCTTTCTAACCCAGATTTTCAAACTTTTTCATCTCATAGCACACTTAAACTAATTCTGCGGCATATGTCATATATATATATTTCCGGTCTGACAAAAAATAAGACATAATTTTGATTTGGCTATTTGGTTGGCTGTTGCCATTTTTTTATTTGACAATCTAAGGGAAAAGAGGTGAGTGCTTCTGACTAAATAGACAGGAATCGCATGTTTTAAAAATTCTTGTGGCACACCGGATGAAAATCACTATTCTAACCCATTTCGGGTACTAATCCTGCACATTCTCCATATCCCCTGAGCTGGCTACAAGTAGGTTCAACATTGCTAGATACAATCTCCCACAGCTCAGTACACCCACACACAGCGCTCACACATCCAGACGCGAGCAAGACGGCTCAACTGTGCCACCGTATACCTATGAGGTTTTCAGAGGAGAGAGTCCAAAAGTCGAGAGACGAAGCTAATCTAGCTTCTGCTTCACAATAGCCCTGCTCCTGGTTTGACCTGTTATTGAGAAGTTGCAAAAGGCGGGCATTTCCTTCCAGGCCAGGTTGCAATAAGGCGCCGATGGCAGTGGCGTGGCAGGTCACACACACGAGAAGCAGCCGCGGAATCTGTAGCCTCCGGCTTAAGCAGCAAAACGGGAACCCGATTCTTGGAGTCATTTTCCCGTCTGAATATGCAGAAGAGAAGTTAGTGACTGGAAGTCTGGCGCACGGCGGCATTTCTGCTAACAGCCGGTCACCCCAAGGTACTGTTTGCTCTGTGGGAGCTACTGACCCCGTGAACCCCAGGGAGCGTTCGGGAAAGACTGCTGGCCAGGGAGAGGGTCACGACTAGCTCCTCCCGGACCCTCGATCGGCAGGGGGCGAAGGGGCCCAGCCGCCGCGCACCCTTCCCCTGCTGCC